GCGAGGAATGCGCATGTCAGCGTTGAGGAATGAGTGGGGAGCAGGAAAAAAATCGACGAAGATCATGTTTTCATGCTATTAGTAATTATCCGGGAATACGCTTGGAAAATGCATCAATCGCGCGCTCGGGAAAACTATAGAAAAACGTTCAGGAAAACAAGCTATCAGTGGCGTTTTCGTGGAGTAGGAAAACAATCAACGAACTTATTGTTTTTATGGCATTAACCGTTCGCAATTCTGCAGGAAAACGCTCGACAAATGCAATGTTCGCGCGCTCGGGAAAATTATAAAATAACGTTCAGGAAAACAAGCTAGACACTAGCATTTTCGTGGAGCAGGAAAACAATCGACAAACATCATGTTTTCATGGTATTTACCGTTGGTAATTCTGTGAGAAAAACGCTCGGAAAATGCAGCGATCGCGCGCTCGGGAAAACTTTAGTAAAATGTTCAGGAAAACAAGCTATACAATAGCGTTTTCGTGGAGCAGGAAAACAATCGACAAACCTCATGTTTTATGGCATTCACCGTTAGTTATTCTTTGGGAAAACGCTTGGAAAATGCCGCGTTCGCGCGCACGGGAAAACTGTAGAAAAACGTTCAGGAGAACAGGCTATTCATTGGTATATTCCTGGTGCTGGTAACTTGCGATGAACTTCGTGTTTTTCCTGAGTTTTACTGAGGGTGAGCTGTGAATTTGCCGCACTTTTTCAGATATCGGAAAACGTCAGTTTAATGTTGAATTTCTCAGTCATTCACCATTTCGGAAAATTAACAGTGAACGCATGTTTTTTTGCCGTGAATGTTATTTAACTGTTCTGACAGAACTTTCATTTAGTCATGCCGTAAAGTTCGTCGGGAGCATGGGGAAAGAATCTCTGTCGCCGTCCTGTATACCCTCTGGAATTGTTAACGACGACGACTGATTATAATGAAGTGTGTCAATCAAATGTGCTCCAAAGATAGAAAAAAATGTTGCTCCTGTTCTCACTCGATTCCGATTTTGTTTTAATAGCTGTCTCTGAAGCCGTTTAAGGTGGGATATCCCTGTCGCTAATATTGGAACATTTACTGATGTCACAACCTCGTTCCCAGGGTTTCTCTTCTTCCCTCCCCAATCTGAGAACTAGGTTGTCGATGTAATGAAATGGTCGCTATCGTTTTCCTAAACGTCGTCAATTTGTTCGTTCCCTCGAAAGCCCTGTAAAATAGTTTAGCTCACAACACATAATTAGTAATTTAATGTTCTGTTTAATTTTTTAATATCTTCTCGTTCCTCATGCAGTTAAAAACACAGGGTCTAACAATCGCGTAATCACACTTTTTCCATACGTTTTTTTAGTTCGATGATTAAACGTTGTTCCCGCTTTACAAAACTGAAATGTTTTGCGCTGGACACTCAAAGCCAGAGGATTTAACCGCCAAATAATCTTAGATTTTAGGCAAAGATTTGTTGCTTAAAACTTGACTTCAACTGATCAAAGTCTGCATAATAAAATGATGAACTCAATTTTAGGCCTTTAACTTCCATGATCTTACTAAGTCTCCTTTGCAAATGTAACAAATATCTCAGTAAATATTTTTTAGAGAATGAAGTGTTGCGTCTTCTTATAAAATCTCCATTTGGACCGGCTCTTCTAATGTTGTTTCCTTGGCCTTCATATGTAGCTTAATGTTTTTCAGTGTCAGTTCAAACGCAGAGTATGCACAAATCGCACAGTATTGCTAAATTTCAAATTAATTCGAGGCGGGGAAGTCTAGTCTACTTCATATTTCAACCCCGTGTGCTTAATCTATGGAGAGGATGATGAGTGAGTGATTGATTTTCAGGTTCCTAAACGGCTTTCTTTTGCTGTTGTTCTGTACAAATCGAGCTCAATCTTTATACTTGGTAACCGTTTTTCCCCCTTCGGTTCATCAATTTTTTTTTTTAACCATTTTACTTCTATTTTACAGAAGCTTTCACGTCTTTCTTACAATAGCTATTTGCATTTATCTTTGTTTTGCAGGGGAAGTCTTATTCCGGTTCTTGCTTTTGGTTTCATCAGTTATACGACTAGAATATCAAACAAGGCAAGCTTCTTGCGTAAAAGGTTAGTAAATTTATAAACAATCTTTCCCGCTTTAAAAAACTGAAATGTTTTGCACTGGACATTCAAAGCCAGAGAACTTAACCTCCAAATAATCTTAGATTTTGGCAAAGACTTGTTGCTTAAAACTTGACTTCAACTGAATATAGTCTGCAAAATATAATGATGAACTCAATTTTAGGCCTTTAACTTCCACGATCTTACTAAGTCTCCTTTGCAAATGTAACAAATATCTCAGTAAATATTTTTAGAGAATGAAGTGTTGCGTCAATTTGACACCGTCCAGCTGATAAGTTTCTCTATTCTCCAAAACTGTTGGTTGAAGAATATATTAATACTGTAGGGAGAAACTGCACGTTAAACAATTCTTTGGTGTCATAGTCTGGGAGAGAAAAAGTAAAAGCAGATACGCGACGAATGAACCGGAAAATCAGATTTTTAAATCTGAAATTTTTAAAAAAAAAGAACACGAAGATGCCATGTTTTTTATTTAAATTACGGGGAAGTTAGAGAGCGACCTTGCTCTGTTTTAGGTTTTCTAAACGATTCTTAGTTTCACCTATCAGTAGTATAGGGCGTCTCCATAGGGAGCAAAGGGATGCCGCCATCAATTAACATAAATAACAAAGGATTCAAGATGGCCTCTAAGTCCCATAGGGAGGATTCAAGATGGCGTCTAAGTCCCTTAGGGAGGATTCAAGATGGAAAGCACTATATAACATCGTCCTAAACCAGATGAGCCCACGACATATCAGCGGCATCTTGTATGAGTATCCGCAGTTTACAATGTGACTTCCGCTTTTTCTTGTTGATGCGTACTCACAGTGTACTCGAGTGTTAGGAAGTTCGCGTAGTGCGTCTGAGCCAGTTTCTGCCAGATTTGAACAGAAAAACAGGTCCTTTGTTGGACTGTAATGATACTTTGATGGCGCTGTTAACGAAATGTTTGGCCGGTTCGTAAGTTGTAAACCTGGTTTCGGTCGATCTGATTGATTGCCAACACCTCTTGAAAATCCTGCACACCATCGACCTAAGCCTCATAGCTGCCAAGTGAGCAGAAGAACAATGACATCAAAATACTCGAGAAAGATAAGTATTAATTTTAATTGCATTTGTGTTAAACTTATATGTACAGAAATTTCTGAAGAGGTACTTAATCAGAAGTTTATCTCATGATAAGCCTTCAAAGTTGTATTAAATAAATTGATGTACATATTTCACAATTTTAAGATGATTGTGTGATGACAATACACCGACGGTCAACATTCGAATATTCAGCTTGAGCTTCCTCCTAAATGTTAAGTATTTCAATTTGAACTTGTAGAATATAACCTATGGATTAAATGTGGGTCTATAAGTATCATCCATGAAATTCTTACAGGCAATTTTCATCATGATATTAAAGCACCCCAAACTCAAGAACAAGGAAAAATAAGTTACGCAGAAAACTGAGTTAGGCAGAAAACTGACGGAGAAATTCATAGTTTTCATAATTTTGAATTCATTCATAATTTTGAATTACAAATCATTCAGACCATAGCCACATATAGACTTTTAGATTGTCACTGCTTTTCTTTTGGTGATTGCATGATATGGTACCCGTCTTGACGTTCTTGGGAAAGGAACCATATCATGCAAGTCCAGGCAGTTGATGTAGTGTTTGCGCATTTTGTCTTGGTCATATGACTGCGCTGTGGGGTCTAGGCCATGGCATAAATCTGTAGCAAATGCCAGTGCAAACAAGCCACTGTCATTTGAATTTGTTTGCTTTTGCCCTCTTTCATTAGAAAAAGTGACTGTAGAACCAGTATACAATAGCATGCGACATGAATGATCAATGGCAACCACGCTTACATTTTGATATAAGCTGTCATACACCTTGACAGTTCCAGGACTAGTAGCTATTGTGCTCAGGCAAACCCAGTGTGAGCCAGTGTTTGTGATCTGTACAAACTCACTAATGGCTGGAGTGACTTAAATGCACCCACAAAAACAGGGTCCTTAGACCATCTACAAGAGGGAATTTTTGTTTTAGGAGGATCTGACCAGCATGTATCTCAGAATCACACAGCCATGTTGTCTTGTTTAAAATGTGATCCTTTGAATCTTCATACAGTCTGTTGGTTAGATCTGGAGGCTGTTGGCCTGTGAAAAGTTCCTTCTTTACATAATGATGCAGGTGCCGTTGCATTTCAGAAACACAATTAACACCACTTCCAATAAGCTCATGAATTTTTTTAACCAGTGTCTCATCAATAGGCTGAAGTAGCCCAGCAGTCTGATTACACAACAAGAAAGAAAGAATAATTGCTTTATTATTTATTCATTTAAAAAATTACACAACCTCATCCCCAGGTTTTCTTGGTCAATGGTTCAATAACCTGGAGCCAGCTGCTTTTGATGTCATTGGTTCAATATGAGAAAATTTTTTCCAAATTTGGTCAATAGCAGCTGGTTATGATAAAATATGTGAGTGGTTTTAACCTTTCAGAAACAGGGAAATATTTTGAATTAATAATAATGCAAATTATACCAACATTACTATCGGCAGTCCTCTGGTAGGGCTTTTCAGTAATAGTTACAGAATGTTATAATTACAGAGTACTGAACACTGTATTTTTTAAGAAAATCCATTTAAAAAGTCCATGACAGCATTCCATTAAAACAGTGCCAGTGGAAATCCCTCTCCGATAAAATTGTGATATTATAGTCTTGACATTGAGTTTGAGGAATGAGTGCCAGTGTAGCTAAAAGAAGCTCTACATGTAGTACATTTTATTGGTCTTTTGTTGTGATGTATAATCTTTATTCATTCTTTATATATATTCGACATGACAGTGGAAGCAGCACAGTCTACAGTAGACTGATGATCTGTGTGAAGTTAAGTCACCTTAAATTCCCTACCAAACTTCAGTTTCCTGATTCCAAAAAAAATTTAATTGATGGCCAAGTACTTACCCTCCCCATGGGGTGAAATAAGTGATCCGTAAGTTTAGGAAGTAATATGTAAATACGCTCCTCTGTAGCTATTGTTTGCTTCTTTTCTGACTCTAGGGATGTTCTCAGAAATTTTGACATTGTCTCCCTTCTACTCTTTGTGTTCTCTGAAATCTAACAATAAAATGTTTTAATTAAAATAATATTTGAAAAATTGGTTTCTAAAATATTCACTCTGTTTCCATTACAGGTAATGTCCAGGTTGTCTTATCATATGTCCACTTCACCTACATGTAACACAAGGCCCATTGGGATCAAGCACCCTTTATTAGGCTAGTGGTCATTCATGTTAATGGTAGTGTCCCCTGAACCCTTATTCAATAATTAAAATAAACTGACCTTATTTTCAGGATACTTGATTATTTTCCTTAGGTGGATCTTTGCTGGACACTCACATTTCTTCGTATCCTGTACTATAAAGCGCTGTTTGGTGTTGTTATAGCAGTGATCAGCATTCTCCTTCTGAAACCAAATAGATTTATTGGATTGTTAGATAGAGCAGTCATATGGGAATAGTCAAGTTATCAATAAACTTAGAAGTAATGAAAAGTATCCTTTAAAATAGTACTTGATTCCTACCTTGTAAACTGCAGTCACAGTGGTCCTTTTTTGCGACTTTGCTTATTTTAACAAATAAAATGTGATATGTCCTTTTACTTGCAAGTGGTAAAAAAGAAAACATTATTGCCTGCTATTAGCCCTGAGGGAGAGGTGAGTGCTCACCAACTTGCTTAGAAAAATCAGTTGGGACTTACCACCTTGTTAGCTTAAGAGCAAATAGGTGAAGGTAAATCAATAACTATGTAATGCCCTACATATGATATCCTCTTTGGGAGTCCTTAAGTAATAATATCATCTTGTTTACATTCTTATTTAGTTAATTAATATGCATGCTTACATCTTTTTGTAGTCTCTTTTGAGCCTCCTTCCTTTTGAGTGCCTTATTTCTGTCTGGCCCATTTTGGCATATTCTAAAACTTTGACTCCCACAATTTGGAATGGGATGCCATCAAAACTTAGTCTGCATCCTGTCATCTCCTGTGAGTCAGCCCATTGTATACGGTGGTTCTTAGCATTTTTATCTGCATTTTCTTTTATGTGAGAAGAGGAACAAAGCTAAGTTAGCAATACGATACATGCACACAAACACATACGTACATATGTACACATGGGTGCTTAAAATGGAGGGCCTGAAAATCAAGCCTGCCCCACCCAGATGTAGCCCAAGGACTGGTGTAATGGATGGGGATGCTGGCAGCTGTGTGTCAATAGCACTGAGTAGGGTTTTGACACTTTAAGCTTGATCTTAATTAATTAAGCATTTCTTGCCAACTCTTGCTGCAGGCTCACAGTAAATTGACACTTGAAGCTAAGTTGAATTTTAATTACATGTTAATTTTGAAAGTCTAACTGACCAGGGTAAACCGAAGAATAATGATGTGTACATGTATTCTTAAGATATCAATAATTATTGGAAAAAAGTTAAATCCCTTTTTTTATTTTGATTTATCTATATTTCATGTTAATAACACGATCTCACACGCCCCTGGCTTTAAATACCTATAGTGTCTAAATAAAGTTATACTTCACTTTACTTTACTGTCAGTATGGTTTATTTTGTAAATCTTTACATGTGAGCTTACTTACCCAGCCTACTGCAATTTGAAAATCCTCCTGTTTGTTTAAATACAGTGAAGCGTGTCGTCGTAGCTATCTCGCACTGTTTTATGAGTTCGTCAGCGCTGCTTTCATCGTTAACATACCCGGAATAAGGGTCAAACTGTACGGTCCATCTTGAAGCCCAAGGTGTACTGTTATCAGCCATGTTTGTTCTTCTACCAAACATTTAGATTTCCCGCCAATATTTACCCGCGAGCCGCAAAACATAAATGCATGAGTGTTAAATATTAACTGGACCACCCTTGGCAAATATATTTATTAGTAGCAAATAAGATGTTGAACAAAAAATTAAGAGATCATGGTCAAATAAAACGTAAAGATAATTTATTACAAACAGAAAAGAACTGTATGTTTGTTCCAATCGAAAGATTTTACAGTGCAAAGTTATGCAAATGATCTTTGACCTGAATCTGCTTTTGGTCGATGATAGCGAGGTCAGAGGATAACATCGACCGAAACTATTAGGCCGGTCATATTTAAGTATCGATCCTCCTTTTAACGCCTTTATAACAGGCTAGATTTTTTCTTAAATATGTGATCTAGACAGAAATTAGTTTGTACAAGTTATGGGAAGAATACTTTCGCAATAAAATATTGAAGAATACGACGCTTTATCGTCAGTCACACAGGTCACGGTCTCTTGATTCGCCGGAAACGAGCAGAAAAATAGAAGACTCTCGCTACGATTCCGCTGACGTGTCATGGGCTCATCTGGTTTGGGACGATGATATGTATTGCCCTTGGGGTGTTGTCAATTAATCAGATCGACCGAAACCAGGTCGACAACTTACAAACCAGCCAAACATTTCGTTAACAGCGCCATCGATCAAAATGTCATTACACTCCAACAAAAGACCCGCTTTTCTGTTCAAATCTGCCAGAAACTGGCTCAAACGCACTTCCTATTCCATGAGTACACTGTAAAATACGCTTTAACAAGAATAAGCGGAAGTCACATTGTAAACTGAGGATACTCATACAAGATGCCGCTGATATGTCGTGGGCTCATCTGGTTTAGGACGATGTTATATAGTGCTTTCCATTCAAGATGGCGTCGGAGACGTCATCGAAGATGACATCATTCAAGATGGCGGTGTAATATATTCATAATATGAGGGTGTAGGTGGGGTAAAATTTAGTTCACTGCCTCCCTTAGGGGAATGTAACGTGTACTTGTATGTTCATGTTGCACATACGACATCATGATGAGATATATATCTATGTCAAGACCTCACTTCCCATCCATGTGGGAGATGTTACAACACTTTACGCATGCGCAGTGTGAGATGTCTGTCAGAGACTTTACGCATGCGCAGTGTAAGATTTTGTCTGAAAAAGATGGCTGTTCGGGGCTGCCTGAAGCTGCCCAAGGCTGCCCTAACCTCTAGGGGATTACATGAAGGCTGCCCAAGGCTGCCCTAACCTCGAGGGGATTAAATGAAGGCTGTCCGAGGCTGCCTTAATCTCTAGAGAACTAAAAAGAATTCACAAGATGTGATGTGTGTCAGAGTGACCGTGTTGGATGCACATGTCTAAAAGGGGCAAGAAGACACGACGCCGTCGCGTGTTAAAAGTGCGTCGCCTTAAGCGCAAGATTCGTCAGCAAGCATCGAAACATGCACAAGATGTGGAAAGGTATCAGAAAAAAATTCAGGAGTTGAAATTACGGGAGAGACATCATGACATTATATTCCACGATGCCTTGCGATACATTTACCACCCCCATGGAAATGAACGATGTATTTACTATACTAACTGGGATAAAGAAATAGCAGACGGCTTTTTTTCTGCATTTCATGAGTTAGATTATAGATAAGACAACCCACATGTAAAATCTAATGCAAAGTTTATTATTATACAAATGGAGTACGATAAAAATGAAAAATGTTATCACTGTTTCTGTTGGGAATGGTAGCTAACCATGTACAATTCTCTAGATGTGGTGGTACCTCTTGAAAGGGTACAAAATTGAAACAGATAATGCTCATGACATCCAAATTCCGGCGATGTATGCGTCTTTGGCAACAAGGTGTAGCTGTAGCATTGTGCATATTGACGTTGATTTGTGTTAAACAGATGAAACAATCATACGGTCTGCCATCTTCTTCCACATCTTGTCGTGCGAGTCTTCGTGATCGTCTTACAGGAGGCATCTAAAAAGAACGACATTGTTAGAAAAAAGTCGACTGAAAAAATTAAAAAAAAAAAAATCACTCGTAACGTACGTACCTTGGTCAAAAGTCCAGCAAGGATTTTTACGATCTAATTCCGAAAAATGACACACTTCTTTCTTAGATTCAAACGCTACGCAAAAGTGTAGTAACAAAAAGATACCGCTACGTTTTGTTGGACCATTTCATTGATGACCTTGAGTATACCGAATGATCGAAATACACCATTCACAGATGGCGTCGTTTTAGAATTCACCAATCACCACGCGGGAAATCCAACCGATCAAATAACACCAAATTTCTTTGATGACCTTGAGTATACCGACGGATCGAAATACACCAATCACAGATGGCGTCGTTTTAGAATTCACCAATCACCATGCGGGAAAACAAACCAATCAAATGACACCAAATTTCTTTGATGACCTTGAGTATACCGACGGATCGAAAGGCACCAATCACAGATAGCGTCGTTTTAGAATTCACCAATCACCATGCGGGAAAACAGACCAATCAAATGACACAAAATTTAGTATATAAGTCGCGCACTCTTATCTTAAAAGTTGCAGAAGTTAAGTGAGAAGAATCTGAAGACTGAAGATTAAAATCCTAAAGACTGAGTGAAGATGGCGCAACAAGAAAACAAAAAGTTGGAGGTCAGTATGATAGTGTCAAAATAAGACTGTCGCGGCAGGCAAGCAGCATTTTTAATACGTTACAAATGTTTTACGTTTTTAGGACCCTACCGCCTATATATGTCCCGAGTGCCGAGACGACATGCTCGATTATGAGAAAATTCTAGAAGAGCTAACAAAACAGAAGATTCATAGAACTCAAGTTTTTTTCAAGCTCCTAAAGCTGGTTAAAAAAGAACAATTAAAAGCCGCGACGGAGTTGGTGAAGGTTTACATGAAAAACCCCGAGGATTTTTAACCGTGTCAAAGTACAAACTGTTGTAAATAAAATGCGAGTAAAACTTATATTTGTGTCATGTCTTGTTAGTTGATGATGGCAAAAAGAAAGAATGATGATGTGGAGGAAGAGGATAGTATCTCGGATGACCAATTAAATCAACATTATGATGAACTTGAAAAACAACAGTATGGTGGAGAAATATCTGACGATCAACTCAATGAATTGTATGATAAATTGGACCAACAACAATTGGATGCCCTCAATATAGACTTGGGTGTGGAACAATCAGGTGGTGCTCTCTTTAACTTTGAATTTCAAAATGCTGGATTCCCAAAAAATTGGAAAAAGACAGCGGATAAACAAAGATACGAGGCCACCCTCAAGCAGACACGAACTCCATCCCAAGACGATAATATCGGAAAAGAAATTACAAATGCGTTAGCGAGGTAAGAGTTTAAAAAGTGTGTTGAAAAAAAGTTTCAGGGGATAAACTCTTATCGAAATTTATTTTGGGTTATTTTTTTTAGATCGATACGGAAACAAATTCAGCAAAAGAAATGTTCATCTCATGACGCGTTCCATTTCACATTACAATCGAATCAATTCGCCCACGCCCAACAATCAGCCACATTCAAAGTAGGAGAAATCATGAAGAATTCAGAACGCTTTGAAAATTACATGACTGCTATGGCTAATAAATTGAATTCAGGAGAATCGTTTAAATCCTCTTCTAAGTTTACCGCCGACCTTACCTTTATTCGAATGCCTAAAGGTGGTAAAAGTGGTCGACAAAAAGCTCTATTGGGAAAGCGATCCATGGCAGAAGTTTTGAAAAAGAAACATTCCGTGATTCAAATTACAAATTCAGACGAATTGTGTTGTGCAAGATCCATAAAGATGAGGGGAATCGACAGAAAATCGTTTACGAAAATGCAAAAAAATGTGACACTGTTCGATCACGAATGGCCCATCAACTCCATGAAGATGCGGGCGTACCTTTGGGGGCATGCGGGCACCAAGAATTGAAAAAATTTCAAGACTTCCTAGCACCAGACTATCAATTAAAAGTGATGGCAACTTCCTACCCCTACATGATGGTATTTGTAGGCCCAGAAGCACCGCATATTATCCGCCTCTTGCTCCAGAAACACGATGACTCTGAGACTGGTCACTATGACACTTGCACATCTTACGCTGGTTTTCTAGAACGATCCTATTTTTGTGATCAGTGCAACAAGGGATTTGATCATAATGACTTCAGACATCATCCATGTGAGGGTCGAAGATGTCATGCATGCAAACAAGTAGAATGTGGCGCAAAACCTGATTATGCCTTGCGTGAAGTACCCTGTTCTTCTTGTTGCCGAAAGTTTTACAGTCAGACGTGTTATGACATGCATAAAGAGAAAAAGATCTGCGACAGCCTTGTTCAATGCCCTATGTGTCGTAAGGAGTTTCAAACCTTAGCGTCAAAAGAACCTCACCAATGCTACTTTGACAAATGCTCTGTATGCCATGAATATGTAAAACTTACAGAACACAAATGCTTTATTCAACCTGTGGCAACCAAAGAAGATCAAAGAAAGAAAAAAACCAAAGCAACCCTGAAACGCCATAGAAAAAAAAATCCCTTGGCTTCGGTGTATGAAGAACCTCCCATCTTCGTCTATGCTGATTTTGAATCTATGATAGCGGAAGATAACACACACATCCCCGTATTGGTCTGCGCCCTCACCTCTGAAGATGATACCTTCGAAACCTACTACGGGGAGAATTGCACGGCCGACTTTCTGAACTTTCTCACCCAGCTCACAGAGGACGAATATGGCGACCCACGCGAGGTGATATGCATTTTCCATAATTTAAAGGGGTACGATTCTATGTTTCTACAGCATCAGTTGGTAAAGGAAGAAAGAAAGATCGAGGACATCATCGCCATAGGCACTAAATGGTTATCCTTCAAAGTGGGTCAAATCACATTCAAAGATTCGTTCAGCTTCCTCCCGATGTCACTCTCAGCCTTTACCAGTACCTTTGGTCTCACGGAACTCAAGAAAGG